CTAAATGTAATACTGTCTTCTATCATTCACAAGTAAACTCACAAAGTAATACCAAATCAGAGCATGTAATGGAAAATGCTAGCCTCAAAGAAATGACACATTTTACATTGACAATGCTACCCACTAATGCCAACTTAAGTAACTTCAGATGAATCAAAACCATTCATGGCTTACCCAGTTGGTCCTATCCTATCTTAATACTGTTGTCCAAATACACTTCCAGAGGAACAATAGCTTTTCAATCAACTGAAATTAATGTTATTTGATACCATTGTACATGCCACATGCAAGATTAAATGTTCTCAGTCACACACCTTGATTGATGGTAGTTCTCCCCACCCAATAAGAAATCAAGATGACAAACCAAAAAGCTTTAATATGTTAAAAGTAGAATATTCTATGATGAAATTTGCACACCCAGTTACGAATTTGTAATCAGCCGTCAACCCATAGAGATAACAAGCTTACCATGAGACCACCCATAAATCCATCGAGTAATATCCTATTCCAGCTATCAAAGTATGAATTAACTGAAAACTTTGCTTTGGCTATGAGTCCAACTGAAGTAATTGCCATGACAAGAAAATAGAAGATAAACCCGGTCAAGCCTGTGAACCCTAATATTCCAGCAACAACCCCACCAATTATGGACATGAATGTTCGGCTGCAAACAAAAACCATGCATAGGTGTTATGTAAGTATTCAGTAATGCATATAAAGTGTGCCATGTAACACATGAGATCTTTTCAACCAATCATAACTCATGCCTGTTCTCAAGTAACTAGAATGTATGTCAAAACAAACCTGTAATAGATTATTTTCATGTTACTTTGCAGATTTTCTGCACTAAAGGTTGGTACATCATTTGTGGCCTCACTTGATTTCTTCTCAGATGAACCTGAATCACTACGCCCAGCCATAACTTCTACTATGTATGATTATGAGTTGCTGCAAAATGAGAAACGGATGAGATGGATGATCCATCAACAAGACTTCAACCCACAGATACACACTCTTAGACTCTTACATCCAAGGAAAAAAAAATCTTCAAACTTTTAAGCACATAAACACAATAACCTGAAGGTCCTGAACAGCACAGAAAATTAACAACAAAGAAACAAACTTCAAGCATTCCAATCTTCATTATCACACAATTACACAACAGTTTTTTCTTGAAGGGGATGCTTAAACAGGATCCTACTGAGATTGTAACTAGGCTCGAACCATCAAAACATTCCATCAATGCTGCAGTAGGATAGTCAGGTAAAGTCTCAACAGAGGAAACCCTATATCACTGAAAATATTGTCGATTGTACCCATCTCAAGAAAAATTACCAAAGCAACCCACCCCTTCAATGGCCAAAAGAAAAGAAAAG